ATTCAGCTCACAAAAAAATGTATCAAGATTCAAAAGGAGTGACCTGAACATGACCAGCACCAAAACAGGTACTGAGTTGGGCTGACTATGTTTTTCCAATGAAAATCACAGGAGGAAGAACCACAATGGTTGAAATGCCCACCGTGGCCAATCCTGGATAAATGTGGATGATCACAGTACTGTCCATGTAGCGAAATGATCAATATAGTCATGTCCTGTACAGTGGTGCTTCAATCAATGGTCACATGGTGGTTCCATTAGAATATCACCTAGTGATGCGGTAGACATCTTAGTTTGTGCTATGATGCTAACACCAGATGAAATTACCAGATAATATACCCCTCAGAATGTGTTTCCTCCATTTGAAATGTACAATCACACTCATATTTCTCAAACTGCAGAAATAAACTATAACTGATACAAACCTGGCCATCGGGGACTTTAGAATATGCTTTCCTTGGTCTGCCTTTGCACAGCCACAATACTGTGCCCATTGCCCATGGTTTTTTGGAGCCATACATGAAGGAGCTGCTTAGAACCCCTGGGTCCACTTTCCAGCTGGCACATTACAAATCCCAGATGTTTTAATATCTCAGGCTAGAGTTTTGAATCCTGGAATGGCTAAAAACAACTCTTGATAAGGAAGACTACACTCTATGGCTGCAAGTAATGTCTCAAAAACTGGGGTACATTGATGTCCATAAATAAAATTTTATCCCAGATCTGCCCTCTGCTTTAATGGTTTATTTCTTATACCAAAAATATGGAAGATACCACCAAAAACAGGGGGGAAAGTATCTTCTCCACACTTGGTGAAGGTTCTCCAGAAAGCAGAGGATCCAGGGCCCTGGCCAGGGAGACCCAAAGAACTGCAGGGAACTCATTTCACAAACCTACTACATCGCAGGCCTGCTGAGCAATGGCCCCATTATTAGTCTGCTCCAAATCCACACCATCTCCAGTTCATGCAAGGAAACTGCAGAGAGCAAGGGGAAAAAAAAAAACTCTTTACAGATTGCTGTAATCTTGCAGAGACAAATAGCTCAGCTGATTCACTCTGTCATAAAACAGAAGTAGCATGCTTCTCTGCGGAATTTAAACTCAGAAAATCTTCATCCAGGAAAAGATCCTGTTCGCATTTTATTATATTCCCTGTTACTTAAGAAGCTCTGAAAGAGTAAAGGACCCCTCCATCTATGTGTTTTCTCTCCATCCTAGCCATGAACTCCTGGCCAAAAACTTCTGTAGTCCCCAGAGAAGGACTAACAAGCCACCAGCACAATTCAAAATTAAACTATTTGCATTCTTATCTCATCATCATGTAGGTTCGAATATGCCCGGCCACTATATTCAGCAGAGCAAACACCAACTGGGTATGAGGTACACACAATAAAATCCTGAAAAAAACTTCAAGTTTCTTTCATGCAATTAGTACACTTATCATGGCAACTGCTGGTGTGGGGGGTCTGTGTGAGAGCAGCCTGCTTATTCTCTGACACAGCTGGAAGCCCTGTGTGGGGCAGTTGAAAACACAAAATCCAGCCAGACACTGGAGTGATCAAAGACTATGTCTACAGCAAGAGAAATGTGCAGTCTGTAGAAAAGCAAGAATAACTCAAGCTGGAAGGACTCAACCAGGAGCACCACCTGCTCTACGTCCCTGGCTGCAGCGGGCTCCAGACACACACACACAGGCCATGATCCCTTCTGCCATACCATCTGTCATACAGCTGCCAGCTTTGCAGTGCAGTCCAACTGTCTGCGATTATTTTGAAGCACAGAGCTCAAGGAGCTCCTTGGAAATCAGAGAACATACCTTGGGCATTTTTATCTTTAGCTGGCTATAACACTCTGGGACAGAGAAACAAGCATGTGCAAAACCCATAAACCCAAAAGCAGCAGAGATGGAGGTAGGGGTGTGGGGGTGAAGAAAGAATTCTCTAATTCCACTTTCAGATGAAAGCTTGAAAAATTCTTCAGCCCGAAAACACCTGGGATTTGTAGTGTACCAGACCAGAAGGTGCACCCAAGGGGTTCTTTTAAGACTCCAAACACCTTGCAATGGACACTGTATTGTGGCTGTGCAAAAGGAGAACCAAGGCAAGCACTCTAAAGCTCCTGATGGCTAGGCTTGCAGAAGCTGGACTCATCAGAAGAGGCAGCCCAGGTGCAGATAAATTTGGCCAACATGCAAACCACATGCTGGCAGCATTCTAAAAGGGACCAGAAAGACAGGCTTCAAAAGAAAAGTGGGGGGGGCACACAGCCCTGAGAAGCTGCAGTGCACCCGAGAACAGGTACAAACACACTTGGGCATCAGACAATGATAACCACAGAACAGAAGCTACTTCACTGCTTAAACCCAGGGACTTCGATACAGGCACTGGTCACTTAGTTGTGACTGGTTACTGTTAGCTGTAAGAGAGTTGCTGGAAAGACACCAGGGATGGTGAAGTCACCCACAGACAACAGGAACCCAACACTACCACAAGATGGGGGCAGAGAGGAGGGGGTATTTCTAGAGGCAGTGTTACCAGACCTCAGATTTCACTATTCCCAAGCAAGGAAAGTCACAGGCTGGATACAGAAAGAAGGAATCAAAGCTGTTCCTTGCTTCTGAGCATTCAAGAGCTCAGACTGTGCCGAGATGCAGAGAAGTTCAACATTCAAGGAACCTTCACCCAACACTGACTTCAATGCTAATGGTCTATATGACAGGGCAGAGCCCCGCATTCCTGAACCCGCTCCCCATGAGGTCTATTGATAAATTACCCTGGAGTCTCCTATCTGGAACAGGAAGGCAAGCATGCAGCACTGTATGCAGGGGTAGCTTCATGCACACTGATCAACTTATGGGACATACTGTAGAAATGCAGGAGAGGATCATAGAAACTACATAAATACATGTACATATCTGAGCAATAGCAACCAATTCCCATGGAAGATTTTCAAAATAAGCATTTGAGTAGTGCTCTCCACCCCAGCCTGAAGGCAAAAGGAGATAGAGAGAGCCCTTAAGGCACCCAGTGAGGCCAGTGGATGAGCACAGACCTAAGGTACAAACAAGAAGGGGAGGACAGGAAAGCCCCTGCCTTTCTCATAAGCTTTAATAACACATTCTCATCTGAAAAGTCATGAAAAATAAAGATAATTAGATGAATGTAAAATGGGATGACAATCAGAAGAGGATTTGGCTTCAAAGCCCAGAATCACTTTGGGGGGGGGGGGCTGTTATGAAAAATTTTGGACATTTTACTATTGTGATTTTACAGAAAGGTCAAAAACTAGTTACAGTCTAGGAGTGTTACTCTGAGTCAACCTTGCTCACACAAGGCCCTAGTGCATTCCCCCAGTGCCAATACACATCACACACACACACACACACACACACACACACACACACACACACACACACTGCAGTAGCAGGAAATGATATTTAAGTCTTACAACTTTTTGCTGTTGTGCCTCTGGACATACCAGGTACCACTTCCGCTAATAACTTTCAAAGTGTTTACTAGACATGACTTCTCTCGTTCTTTAAACACGGCACCTTTAACTCTGCATCTTTGCAAACTTCCGGAGGAAAGTTACACCACACCATATCATGGAAGGTCAAAAGGCCTGGCCTTTAGAGATCGTTACCGTACCACTCAGAGGGGTCTAAACTTCAGGAACAAATACATGCACCTCCTGACAGTGTTTATTCTAACATGACTATTCTGAGATGTGAATGAAACCTCTGCTTAGTTTCATGCACCACTGTCTCTTGACAAAGGCAGGCTGCAATGTAGCTCAATGGTAGGGCATTTGCCTAGCATGTCTAAAACTCTGGGTTGAATCCAGGGCACTACTGAAATAAATAAGTGAATAAATAAATTCTGAACAAAGGAAACACTGCAGGAGCACGGTTCCTAAAACAGCATGCCTTTCTCCTTGGGACAGAAGGAGATGGACGGAGATCTGGAAGCCAAAGCCCTCACCTAAAACTGACATTTGGGCTCCTGAAAAAAAGTCCCCAGGACCATCAACCCCAGTGCATCGAAGCTGAGCACTGTCTCCAGCTCAAGGTGTCTTCCTAACCCTGGAGTGGGGCAGGCAACCTCCCTGACACAAATACAAGTGGACACAGTATGTTGCTGAGCCTGGCTCGTGCCACTGTTGTCAGATGAGGGCTCAGTGGCTAATTCAGGCCTTCAAGTCTGCCCCCACAAACCATTAACCACATGCCATCTCACATACAGGAGATCCAACTTCATTTCATGCACTGCTGACACACTTAGCTGAGTCCTGAGGCCAGCCAACATTACATGGAGCTTCCTTTTCCCTAGGGCACTTCACTAGACCTCAGAAGCAACTGGGTGCCATAAAAGCACAAAGCTCAAACTCAACTCCAAACCCAGTGTGCAGTGTGTGTCTTTTACCCAACAAGTGACTCAAAATAAAAACAAGGAAGCTCTTTGTTTGCAGCACAGAGCATAAAAAATGGAGACCAGAATTATCAATGCCCCTTCATAGTGAGTGTTGGCAGAAATACATATAACCATCATCTAGCCACAGAGACATGGAGAATTGGATGGGAAATCAGCAGTTTAGAAATGCCTGCAATCTAACCAAGCTATGTAAATGTCTTCTATAATGTTGTCATGAAAACCATTTTTGTTCTTAATGTATTGCTTTTATGTTGACCTTAACAAAATTAGAAACACAAAGTATATGCCCTTGAATAATAGGATTTTAAATGTACTTAGCACAAAAAGGAGAACAAGTAAAAGCATATATGTGAAATATCATGGTAACCTGAGCATATTACAATTCTCAGCTGTGATATCCAATAGCCATCACCCATGACCTGAGAAACTAACCACTGGCTTATAGGCACAGTTCCCAATCAGCTTCACTGATCTTACCTTAAGCACAGCATATAACGGCCATATTTCAGAAAAGAAAGTTGCCTACTTAAGCCAGTAGAGTAAGATTAAAACACTTTTCACAGCCCTTACTTTCAAAATATTTTGGGTTTCATTCCACTTGTTTGTCCATTCCTTGGTCAATTCTTGAACCTAGAAACACAAACAAATATATAATGATTTTATTAAAAATTTACATAATTTTTGTCTAGAACAGTTTCTAAATGTATAGACCCTATGGGACGATGAATTGCACACGGGTGTGTATGTGTGTCTACATATAATATATACACTTTAATGTAGCTATCTCTACTCTTTGAAAGAACCACCACCAAATACAAACCAAACAGCTGCTCTCATCAACAACCTACACTGCAGCAAAGGAAAGAGACAGAAACCTGTCAAATGATAGCTTTCGGACCTGTTTTCCATGGTGGACTTAGAGAAGCTGCTTCTTTGGATTATTAACAACTTTCAACTTCAAGGATGGCAACAGCACATTAAGTGTGTTTACTTTTCCTGGCCATACTTTAAGAAATAGCCATTTACTTTCTTTTCTAATTGGACGTGGTGATTAAATCACCTTGGATGCTGCAGTTTTCTTTTAGGAGATAATGCTTTTCTAGCTAATTAATGGGGTTTATAAATCTCATTCTACCTTTGGGTAAAGGAGGAAAGATGCTTCTTTATTTGACTCTTTCAGACACAGCAAAATTCTATTGATAAAAGCCAGTTTGTTTTCAGTGGACTGTGACTTAGGAAAGGGAAGGGCCTGACAGCTGAGTGCACACAATTGGTGAGAGCTTCTCAAAGCTAATCAAGTTTTCAGCTAGTTCCAGAAATGCTTTAAGATGATCCTTATGATTAATTCACTAAGAAGCAAAAAAAGTGATGGCTAAATCAAAAGGCCAGGAAAAAGTGGGATGAAATATGCTCTGTGGAAAAGAAGACAGGTAGAACTAGAAGAGTGGTCCAGGAAGGGGACAGCCAACCTCTCAGGGTTCACCGCTTCGGTCAGCTGATGGCCTCCCAACTCCCTCAGCAGAACAATCTCCTCTAAGCCTCCTGTTCTCCTCACCCAGAGCCCCCATCATGTAAGGCTGAACCCCCTCCTATGGGAAAGGCACACTCCATGTGCCTCAAAGAACAGAAATCTTGACTAAACTAAGTGTGTTGTGACAAGGAAGAGGGGATCTGTAGTGATCCCCAACCCAGAGAAAAATAAACCTACCTGACTTACAGTCAGTGGTCATTCACTTACTGAAGTGACCCCAGAAAACCATGGGGTTCCAAGTAAATGTTTCTTCTTTCACTAGCTATTTGCACTGAAGTCTGTCTTCTTTGTGAACAAAGCAAACAGGAGTGAAGAGACACCCCATCCCTCCCTTCCCGCCTCCATGCTTTGATAAGGCTGTGGTGACAGTCAGAAACCACTCATACCCAAGGGCCCTTCAAAGGAGACAGCAGGGAGTCGTGTGGCCACTGGAGTGTTTTGTTCTAAAACATCTTTCAGAAGGGGATGTTCTTATATCTTTTCTCCCTTCAGAGGGGGGAAGAGTAGCATACTGAATTTTCTAATTTATACTAACCAATGAGTAGACTTTCATTGGCAGGCAATTTATCTGAGAAGAGCAGATGAACGTGCCTTACACCACTATATGTGTCCTTACTGAAGAAAGGTGAGCCAATCAATAACACAGAGACCCACAACTGGACAATGTGCAGAGTGGAAGATTTTGAGACACTCAGTCTAAGTGGAATGTCTGCATCAAACCACCCTCCTCAAGGGTCAGGAACAATTAGAAAAGGAGCTGTTAACATTTTAAGAGCCAGAGGGGATAGAGGGCATCAAGGAAACAGTGTCTTCCAGATAAAACAGGACTAATGCACTTATGAACTGAACTCACAGAGACTGTGGCAGCATGCACAGGGCCTGCACAGGTTCAAGTCAAACAGAGTCCCAGTGCTAAGAGAGGGAAGTACGCATGTGATCCTATCCCTAGACAAGAAGCTATCTGCAATTGATACCTATTTGTAAAAGAAAATGTAGTATTCTCTGATGGAGTCTCACTGGGTATATTAACCACACTGAAGGGTAGGCCCCATGTCCAGCAGTAGATGGCCAACCCCAAACAAACTCAATGGTACTTTTTTTAGACTTTCTCTTATTGCTTTGTTTAGACATTCTTGTCTTGTCATTTGCTTATATTATGGTTTCCTATTTTCTTTATTTCTGTGGAGTTTTGTGTGTGTGTTTCCTTGTCTTTTTGTTTGTTTGTTTTGTTTTTTGTCTGTTTGTCTCCTAAAGAGAGAAAGGGTTTGGAGTTGGGTGGGTAGGGAAGAACAGAGGATGTGGGGAGAGAAAGCATGACCAGCATATCTTGTATGAAAATATTTTTTCAATAAAAAGTAATAAAAATCCATCCTTTTCAAATATGAGCAAATAACCTGAGCTTTCAAAAAGTTCTAAGTATTCCTTAGATTTATCACTGTGTTTAAATCAAATGATCTCCATTAAAAACATAAATAGAATCCAATCACGACTCCATCTGACAATGTGACTAAAGAGTAAGACAGGTGGCCAGCAACTAGGAAGGTCAGGATAGCTGAGGAAAAACTTGAGAGCATGCTACGGGTGAGACGGGCAGCCACCTCCTTCATGCATGAAGAGTGCAGTCTAATGAAGACGTCTCCTGCTTTCTGTCAACTTGCTGAGTACTCCTGAAACCTGTACTTGATAAACAACCACACCCAGACATTCCACTACACTTAGGATTTGAAGCAGTGAAATATAAAATTTCATGAGAAAAATGGGGATTGAGAAATGGATGTCTTTCCTGACACTATTATCAGCTATTAGCCAACACAATTATCCTAGCAATTATGAACAAGTTCATAACTACAACTCAACTTGAATCTTCCACAGTGTGATTCTTGAGTTTTCACCATCAGACCATTTGTTTTCCTCTAGGGCTGTTTTAATCATTCAGCATCAGAAAAAAAAAAAAAAAAAGAACTTCTAAACTGATCTTACTGTCTGTTTCTCTTTTCCCAGAGAGCATTAAAAAAAAATTAACATGATAGAACCAAGTCAGCCATGAAGCTTGTTTTTGAAAATGCAAGCCTGATGTCTGCCCTCTGTCACCCGCCCCCTACAGAGCATCCTCAGTAGGGTCCCTCACTGCTATTCCGTCCCTGTCTCTTAATTGGTCTCTGACCCCGAGTGCTGACTATTCCACTGCACAGTCAAGGGCTCCACGAAGATGAACAGCACTTAGCACTAAGTTATGGGGACCACTGTGGTCACATGAATGTTAACTGGAGCCTCTTGTCACCTGCTTGAGTGGCCCCACTCTCTGACAGGAGGCCTGCCGGTGACCCTAACTGTGGCAAGTCATTAAGTGCCCCTCAAATCCTGTGTACTGACATGTGGATGTGCAATGCATAAAAAGCTAAGAAGAAGTATCATGGACCAGGTGTGGTGGTGCATATCTCTAAACCTAGCAGGATGAGACCAAAACACCACGAGTTCAAGTGCAGCTGACAGCACATAGTGATATTCAGTCTTGAACACAAAAAACAGATAGATCATGGCCACGGGGTTTGGGTTAGAGGTAAGTGTAATAAAGAAACTGTGTCCCAACCCATGGGGAAGCACAAATGCTCCATTCAGTGGTAAAAGCCTGGTGACAGTCTCGAGTTGTAATAAACAAGGACTTAAAAAACAATGCTTAATTGAAATTAAAAAACAATAATAACTCAAATCATCACTTACTCTTGCTTCATTCTGGTGAAGTTTTTCCTCCATACTTAAGGCTGTAGGCGAATCTAAGAGAGCAATCTACAATTTAAATCATAAAACATCAGAGTTAATAAACAGAAGTGATGTACATTTCTAGGATCTCCCCAAATTACCAAAACAGTTTCACAAAAAAATATTAAATGTTTATAAAAAGTAATTTCTCACCCATCCCCTCAAAGTATTCTTTATCATTAGGTCTCTAACCCATGGAGTACATGTCTTAATACTGAAATCAGGACCTCACAGTTGTAAAACTACATCTGCAATACAATCAGCAAAGGAAAAGCCATGGCAGCAGCACTTCACTCAAGTCAAACACATCTCAATCCCTACAGTTCTCAGAATTCATTTGTCTAATGGACAGAAAGAACAAAGTTCAAAAAGTAAAACACCCAAGTCTTGCTTAATAGTTCATCCACATTGAAACATACAAACAAAATTCACTTGTTTTCACTGTTGATGGCATCCAGTATATGGCCCAGCTATGCTGCGATCTATGTTTATTTCTTTATCCATGCTGCAGAAGGGTAAAATCTGAAGTCATAAACACCAAAATCAGGTAAGAACCTAGGACCAGTGGACAGCCCGGGGTTTCAGTTGCATGTCTAATAATTAAGCCTGGGCCTGAGCGGCAGGAGCGTAAGTGTCCTATTCAGTCTGCTGTTCTTGTTGCCAGAGATGTCACAGGCACAAACAGAAGGAGTTCAGCAAAGGCAAGCATTCTTTCTCAGTTTAATGGAACCATATTTTTATTGTGTTATCATAAGTGAAAATGGCATAAGCCAATTATCTTGATTATTGCTTTTTTAAAAACAATATATGAGGAACATATTGTTTATATTTAAACAATACAAACTTTTTTTATTTTCTTTTTAATGATTTTATTTCTATTGTTTGGTATTCACTGCATGAATATTCTGTAGTTGCTGTTGGAGCTTTCCTGACTGACGTAAACGCAGGTTTTTCTAATCATTTGCTTTCCCAGCAATGTTACAGTAACTATTCTTGTACCAACTGCCTATAGTATACATGACCAGATCAACAGACTAAATTTCCTCAAGGGAGAACTCCTTAGGCATCATGCATATGATTGTTCCTTAAAGTACCAGCATGGTTTTCATTTCTATCTCTTTCTTAGGTCTTCTTAGGTTCAGTTAAGCATTCAATCTAGCAGGATGACTGTAAGCCATACTGGGACTCTGTGGTCAACAGAGAACATAGCTGCTCGGTGGGGAAGCACAGGTGTAGAATGCAGAGGCAAGAGCCTAGTGACAGCATCTAGAGCGCTCCTTCAGCTAGCCACATGCAGGGTGGCGATTCACATGGGCATGTATACAGCCCACCTTGGTTTTGAAATCCACAGGCCACAGCAGTGGAACTACCAGAGGCACACCTTCCAGAGGCACACCTTCCAGAGCCACACCTTCCAAAGACACACCTTCCAGAGACACACCTTCCAGAGGCCTTCTGGGGGATGTGCCCAGTTATAGCAGTCCCTTGTCTCAGGGGACCCAAAGGTATAGCTTCTCAGCTGCCATTTGAATTTTATATATTGTCTATCTTAACCTGGATGAAATTCATCAATTAGGAGATTATTTTTATTATTGTAAGTGTTGACTGGTTATACAGCTGGCATCCCACTTTTATCAGGTTTACAGATATGAAAGTTAAACTAAAGCCTACCATTCTTGCCAAGATGCTATGTAGTCAATGGTATTCATTGTATTGGATATTTTTCACATATTCAGGAAGCAATCTGAAACTATTTTTCTACAACCTGTGCTCACATTATTTCTTCCCTTTCCTGTTGGGCTGTAATGCTTTTATTTGTAGTTGTCCTTTGTAGCAAAGAAAGTAGGGCTAGGCTGCCTGAGCTGTTGGGCACCAGATGTAGATGTAACCAACCGTCTTATTAAATAAGAAACACAGAAACAATGTAAAAGAGAAAACTGAGAAGTCAGAGCTCAGAGCTAAAATCTCACCCTTCCTCCTGCTGTCCCAGCTTCGCGAAAAGAGACCCACTTCCTGTCGGTTCGTCTATTTAAAGTATGTTGTTCTGCCTTCTCATTGGTTGTAAACCCAAACACATGACTGCCTCGTCACTGTCTGAATGTACAGCCCCCTAGGTCTTAAAGGCATATGTCTCCAATGCTGGCTGTATCCCTGAACACACAGAGATCTTATGGGATTAAAGGCGTGTGCCACCACCGCCACACTCTTGCTATGACTCTAATAGCTCTGACCCTGAACACACAGATATCTATGGGATTAAAGGCGTGTGCCACCACCGCCACACTCTTGCTATGGCTCTAATAGCTCTGACCCCCAGACAACTTTATTTATTAACATACAATCAAATTAATATTTCAGTACAAATCAAAATAATATTTCAATACAATTAGATTACCACCACATTAATGAACTGTATGGATTACAGCCGACGCCCATGGTGTTACATGCACCTGCTACATCCCCACTCAATTCTGCCTGCCTGCGCTCTCACAGAATGAGAGCATTCGCTGTGACAAATGTGTGTGGCTCTGTCTCCTTTATTTCCAATTGTTTTGTGTTTTCCTTCAGAGAAGTTGATGTCCTGTCTGATTTTAATTGTGAACTGCACTCTATTCATGACAAAGTAATCTTTTCTAGAGCTAAATGTATTACTCTTTCTGCATCAGTCTCCTCTTCTGCGAGTTAACTGATAGGACTCTGCCTATTCCTACAAGCATCATCTGCTTAAGCTTTACTCTGTGCTCTTGTCTCATACACACCTCTCTTAAAAGCCTCTACAAAGATGTTCTACTGTTCACATTCTAACACCAGGCCTGGCTATAACAGTGAGGAGTCCATTATACCTCCATCTTTTTGCCCCATTGTTTTCTTTGCTTCTTAAGTGTAATTGTTCATAGTTTTTATTAATTTACTCTTTCCCAAATACATTTGTGAGAGATTAGGGAGTTGAAATTTTTTTTCTATAAAATGAAAAGTGGAAATATTTGTAAATTCAGCAAAGCACATGATAAGAGAATTCATCTAGAGGCCAACTTCATTCAAAATGTGCAAAGTTCAAAGTAAAAGCATTCTGCAATACTTATCCATCAAAATAGCTAATGACAATTGGATAACATGGAGTGTGGGCAAAGACTTGCGGAGACTACACTGGTACTGACGTATGTTGATGGGGAAAGGGAAGGGCATAGCTACTTTAGAAACTGGTGCCGCCTCCTGAAGTTATACGTATGATATGTATACCTCTGACCACCAAGTCTTCTTAGGCATAAGCCCCACAGAAATACATCTGTATGTGTACTAAAAGGCACTTAAAGGTCCACAACAGACATAATAACACCAAATAGGAAGCCCTCAAAAAGCAAATGAAAAATTGACAGACAGATGAACTAGGAAATGTTTGTGTAATGGAATACAAACAGAAATAAGAGTAAGTGGGTCCTCACCTACATGCAACAACATGGATGAACCTCATGAACACATTGGATCCAAATAATACATACTACAAGATTCCATATACATAAAGAGCAAAAGCAAGCAGACCCAAAAGCTCTGCCTCAAACAGTCAGGAAGGTGGGTACCCCGAGAGGATGGGAGGGTGGGATCTGGCTAGAGCACTAAGAGTGGCTCCTAGGAAACGGTGAAGCTCTAGTCTCAAGGTGAGCACAGGGAGATCAGTGACTTCTAAATCCATGCAAATATGTATCCATGATATCCTATTTCAACGTTCCTGTAGTTCTTATATATAATCCTGTAAAAATTCTCTGTATACATTTACATACATCTATACACATATAGTTCTGTATAATAGAAGTAAAGAGATATCACAATCTTTCTGTTTTATCAAATTGTATTTTTAAATGTTTGGCAGATGATCTCTGCAATGGCAATATATAAAATTACTAAAAATAAGAACTGATTTTTATTTAGCTTTGCTTAAATAAACAATTCTAAATATGGAAGTTAAATTAACACTCTCAAAGAACTACAGGAACGTTGAAATAGGATATTCCAGAAATAGAGGAATGCTCTCAGAAAGATTTACTCACAATTATTTTAGAGAGAGATTGAAAGGGGGATGGTGTGTGTGTGTGTGTGTGTGTGTGTGTGTGTGTGTGTGTGTGTGTGTGTGTGTGTGTGTGTGTGTGTGTGTGTGTGTGTGTGTGTGTGTGTGTGTGCGCGCGCGCGCACGTGCGTGCGTGCACATATCTGGGGGTTCAGAGAACTTTGAGTACTGGTCCTCAGGCACCTTCGACCTTAGTTTAAAATCTGTGTCTCATAGGCCAGAATTTCACAATTTCACAATGCAGGTGTGGCTACTGGTCCACAGGCTCCCAGGGATCTGAGTGTCTCTATCCCAGGTCTCGCCATGGCTAAGATGACAGGCATTTACCCCCTCGCCCGGCTCTACAGAAGCAAGTACTCACCACCAGACTCTCTCTCCAGTCCCTTATTCAGAGATTTTTTTAATGAGCATTTAAGAACATTTTTTATTAATTATCATAAATTTAATTAGGTAGGATATCCTTTAACATCTCAAAGACTTATAGTTTCAGAATATTCCTTATCTTGAATTAGAGTCCCATGTTCACTATAATGTATATATTAAATTTACCAAAAACACATTGTAAATAAACTTTCCATCTTCACTTCCAAAACGGTAACAAAATTACTCCTTAGTTATAGAAATGATATTAACTCATGAAAGAAATAAGGGGATAAACAAACACAACAATAGGCACACAATACAACCACATAAGGGCAAACACAAGGTGGGGCTTGACACAAGCTAAAGTCGTCTGAGAGCAGGGAACCTTAATTAAGAAAATGTTTCCATAAGATGGGGCTATAGGCAAGCCTATAAGGCATTTTCTTAATTAGTGATTGATGGGGGCACAGTCCATTGTGGGTGGTGCCATCCCTGGTCAGGTGGTCCTGGGTTCTATAAGAAACCAGGCTGTTACTGAATAAATGAGTCTGCTGTTTGCCTTTCACCTGAAAAATAAAAATTAGAGAGAGAGAAAGAAAGAAAGAAAGCAGGCTGAGAAAATCATGGAGAGCAAGCCAGGAAGCAGCACTCCTCCCTGGCCTCCCTGTCTGAGTTCCTGTCCTGATTTCCTTCAGTGATGAACAGTGATGGGGAAACATAAGTCAAATAAACCCTTTCCTCCCCAAGTTGCCCCAAGACACTGATGACAGTGTCTCATCACAGCAATAATAGCCCTAGCTAAGACAGTGAGAAAAAGCACTTGCCACCAAACCTGATGATGGGAATTCAGGCCTAGGAACTCACATGAGGAAAGGAGAGAACCAAATTCTGAAAACTGTCTTCTGACCCCCATATGGGTACCATAGAACACGCATACCCACTCTCCCTCAACAGTCTCTTGGAAGATCCAGTGAAGGCAGTCCTTCACATATTAATCATTTAAAAGGTGTACTTTAGACAAATAATGTTTCCAAAACACAGATAAAGGATTCCAATAGCAGTGTATAAATAGAAACAAGTACTGTGGTTCCTGATATCACATTCTGCTGACAACTCCCTTTCACACCAGAGGCCTGACATCACAAACAGAAGTGTGTACGCAGATATTTTTAAGTACAATGAAGGAGTCCTGTTTGACTGCAGTCTGCCATCTTGTGGGAAAGGACTGCAGACTTCAGGACACAGGAAACTGAGGTTTCATTTTGACAACGTTTCTACTGTTCAAACCATTTACGGGCTATCAAGAGTGGAGTATCATATACTCTTACAGGGAAAGCACTGAGCACTTCCCATTTACAGAAATGGGGTTATATAATGATAGACTTAAGATGTCCACACATGGCCTAAGAACACAGGATGAAATAAATGTATCGTTTTATTTCCTAACAGACAGACTGATTTTCTTTCTGATAACAAGACTGATAACACTATCTCTGATTTTCTTTCAAGGGTGGCCTTTCTTCACAGTAGTACCTGAACCATCTGGAACTTAGCTCACACAGTCCTCACAGAGCATAACTCTGCAGGAACATGCTCAGACTGTGAGAAACAAAAAGACACAGCTTCTCCGGAATTCAAAAGATACTGAAGTGAGGCCATTTCAATAATCATGCAAGGCCCCGGAGAAGAGCATCAGAGGCACCACTGGGTAAGCCAGGCATGGCTAAAGTGAGACCGAGACTCAGAAAGGTGTTCAAACACATCCCCTCTATTAAAATACACTTAGTGTCATAGAATCCATGGGAAGAATTTTAAATACTATTTTAAGTGTCTAAATTTCATTTTACTACTGGAGATTACACCACTAATCCTATTGCATGCTAAATTTCCATCCATAATTGATAACTATTAGACGGTTAATCATTTAAGGCTTGATGGATAAAATCTTACACCCAGAATGCATATGGAATGCAAAGGCCAACAGGAAGCTGATATAGAGACTCACTAACTCATCTGAAGCTTTACTTAGCACTTATTTACTCAAATCAATACCACAAGATAATTGTCTCATTAAGAGCTAGAAATAGATGCCATTACTCAAAGAAAATTATCTATAAATCTCAGAAAAACTCAACCTGATTCCCTTGAGCGAGCAGGGTTTTCAGCCTGGCTATTTCAGCTCGCAGCTCACGGATGAGTTTGACGTTGGCATCCTCATTAATGGTAGGCTTGTTGATGATGTTTTTGGCTCTATTTGCATAGCGAAGGGTACTTAGGGTTTCTCCATAATTGACATCAGCAGGTGAAATGGCTGTGAAGAATGAATACAAAAAATAATTCATCTAGCACTCCATGTTTCATTTAACACAAAGTTGGTTTGTAATTTAAAAGTCAGATCAACCCCAGGTCACAAGAAAGACTAAATATTCATTGCCACAGTAATGAATATTAAAAAATATCTAAGGTTTATAGGGAAGGGTGTTCACTGTACCAAATTAAAGGTCGTTCTGCTCCTGCCACATCTATAATCAGCCACTTGAACAACTTCAAGATGGGTGAGAGAAACCCTACCCAGGGAAGGGGTTTTCTCAGTTGATCACATGAAATTTCAGGGTGGCACTTCTCTATCAAGCAAGAATTAAAATACTTGGGCATTTCTGATAAAAATCCATCATCTGTAAAAGCCCAGAGCCCAGCAATTTTTCAAAAATCAGTAGGCTACTTAATTCCTTCCTTCTAGAAGCTTTTGGTTACTTCTGCATAGCAGTCCCCTTCCACCTAACTTGAAGACTGGGGTGAATACACGTTGTGTTCGCTTGCTGCACCAGTGACTGCAGGGCAAGGGCTGGGAAGAGGGCAGAGGGGAGAGAAGGGGAAAGGAGGAGGAGACAGAGGAAAGAAAGGCTGGGAGGTAACACGTCCTGAGTCCCCTTAGCAAATCTCCTGTTCTACATAGTTTTCTCAATCCTTATTCTTTCACTTAATTGGTCAACTATAAAAAGAGAGTATACTACTATTCCCATTGTGCTTACCTCCTTTGGTTTTTCCTTTCAATTTGAAATTTGAAATTATGCATCTACTGTTTTAAATGGGAAAAACTTGGGTTGTTTATTTGCTGTCTCTGTAAAGGATTCTCCTACGAGCTGGTGAAGTTCAAAGTGCCTGCCTTGTACTTGAAGCAAAGAGAAGCTGAGCCTGTCTGCCTGTCATTGTAGCCTCCATGATGCTCAAGTCTACAGAACTGCAAATTCCAAACTACCGATGTGTTACAATACATTATTTTCAAGACAGGAAAAAACATTTCTTTAAGATATAAAAGATGCTGCATCCTAATGAGACACTTCCAACTTAAATATTTACACTTAATTCACAGGAAATACTGATGCTCAGGGATATAATTTCAACTCTTACTGGCAATCATGATGGTTTTAGAGTTTCCTCCAAGGCTATCTTTCAACAGCCAAGTCAAAACAGAATCCCTGTAAGGCACAAAAACTTGCTTCTTCTTCACAAGAGGGTTGGCTGCATCCTGAGATAAATCAGCTGCCGGGAAGAAAGAAAGAGGTCATTCCAAAGTCCCTGCTTTGTCTGACTTAGCTCTAAAGACCAGCGCATGCTGCCTGGGTTTGTGAGACAAGCATCCAGCAGGCGTGTTCCAAGCTAACACAGTACCCAGGCAAAAAAAGGGCAGGAGGTGACCTCAAGCCTACCTACCTAAGGCAGAAATGACATTTCCCAGAGTCACGAGGGACTTGTTTATATTGCCCCCTTCCTTGAGCCTGACCCCAGTGGCACCGGTGGCATCCGCACGCTCACTTCCAGCAAGATCGACCAGGTGGATCTTGCTCACTGTTTCACATGGCATTTCAGCGTCGAATTTTGCCTGTGGAAAGACATGCACTTAACACTGAAGAAAGCAAAGGGCTCTGTGCTTTTCATGACCAAATTCCCATCACTTTCTCCTCCCAGCGGAGGTCTCTCAAGGTAGACTTGTGGTGTTCATTTTGTTATTTTACTGGCTATCTTCCTGAATTAAACCTGATGCAACAGAACTCTACCATATGTGACCCTCACACTTTCTGAAGAACCAGTCCATTTGGCAAACAACTGTCACTCTTGACAACAACCCTCAGGATTGGGGAGCAAAACAATATAAAACCAGCCCCCAAGGGGAACTGGAAATGAAAACAAAATGACAAGTAATTCGCTTTCTTCTTCTGGAAGCTTCAGCACTGCAGACACAAGGCTCTTCAGAACATGACAGACAGACAGTTATGTAAGGTATCATGATACAGCCGGGCGGTGGTGGCGCATGCCTTTAATCCCAGCACTCGGGAGGCAGAGGCAGGCAGATCTCTGTGAGTTCGAGGCCAGCCTGGTCTACAAAGCAAGTTCCAGGAAAGGTGCAAAGCTACACAGAGAAACCCTGTCTCGGAAAAAAAAAAAAAAAAAAATCATGATACTGTTTAATTAAGCACACCACATCTTTAGAGATGTGAAATACCAAAATGTAAAATCCCTTGCTCTGAATCCTATCAGAACTTTCTATTTCTAAAGGCCCTTAACCTATGTCTTATATTTTAGCCAAATGCAACAAATAATAATAAAAATTAGAGTTGACGGACATGTAAACCTTTTAGAAACTACAGTCATCTACTACATACTAGTAAAGCATCCACCAGAAAACTGAAGAAAAGCCAGTAAGCTGCTGTAATGCAAAGCGAGGCTCTAACTGAAGGTCTAGCAGGACACGGCGAATGCCCAGGGAGCCCTTGGAGAGTCAACTCATTTCCCTGCCCTCTGATCCTCAAATTAGTGAAGGGATGCCTGGCTGTTTCTGCTGTGTTCACTGTCAATGTGGACAGACAGTTCCAACACTTAACACTTGCTGAAGCCAGGAAGACTTGAAACCGTGTATACCTGTGGTCTGGTTTGGTAACAGACTCCTTCCCCTCAGCCACTCCCAGCCGCCTTCAAGACACTGAGTACCACCTGATCATAATGAATTCTTACATTAGTGCCTCTGAGTGCTCACTGTCCTCTAATACTACTCTAATCATAATCAACATCACCGGAGCCCGTGGAGCGATAATGTACTGCACCCGTTTCTCACCTCGGCCTCCAGCTGCTCTGCCTCAAAATCTATTATCTCCCACTGCGCTGATAACAATGAAAACTTTGCTTAATTAGGCACAGAGCAAGTTTTTCTTATGCCTAGAACAAGGTGGAAGCCTGCTAAATATTTCTAAGGATATACATCAGGACTTTTAAATCACTGTGAATGCAGAAAAGCTGAGCACACGGCACATGTTCAACTCTAATTAACAAGGAAGTGACAGTCACCTTTGCTTGCTGCTGCTCCTGGTTCAACAAGGATCAGCGCTCAGCTGGTGCTAATCAGCAAGGCAAGGCCTGAGGCCTGGAGCCTCTGCCCAGTGCTGCCCTTACCTGAGTGAACTTGATAGTGAAGATGGCGTGAGACCTGCTACTGACGTCGTTCATCCCGGTCGCCGCAGTGGTACGGTTGATATTCCCTGCGTCCATAAGTTCTTCCACGTCACTGTAGTTCTGGACTAAATGCTTGGATAAATCTAGAAGAAAAAAGAAAGGGTTGAGGGAATCCTTCTGTTATGTAGTGAAGGAAATAAGTAATTTCCCTTTAAGGATCATGCGTGACTACGCATCTGCCAACCTAGTTGGTCATCTGGTATCTACACAGTGGACTGCAATGCAGACTGAGAGCTGGACAAGCTGGATGGCCTCAATGGGCCTCGGCAACCTAATCTGAGTGTCCATTACACTCCATTACACAGAGTGCCCAGAATAAAAGTCAGCTCTTAACAGCAACCTCTCAGAAGCATCATGGCATAAGGAAGAAATATATAAAAGCTCCACTGTAGACGAATTTTTAAGATTCATGTTATACTTCACCCCTAGGAAAAGCCTCATGCATGCCTCACCCTATGCAAAACCTGAAAATATTTTAAAACTAAAAATTTTTTTACTCTCTCTCTTTTCTTGAGGGGAAGGTAGTTCATAGGGCACCTCTGCTTTTTCCCTATAGCAAACTCCTTCCTTCCCTTCTGTCAGGTAACCAGTGTTCCCAGTTTCCCCATACACTTCAAGACAATCCATTTAGACTAAGGCAGTTACACACATATCAAGCCACTTTCCCTCCTCCTCCATGCACATATAGCATACTAGGCAGGACACACATGAGGCCCTCTGATCAACGCCACACACCAGGATAAAATGAACATTGTTCTGCTTCCTGCTTTTTCCTTAAGTCCATCTAAGAATACTCTGTAACAGTTAGGGTGGCCTGGTGTTCATTCTTAAGGTTGCACAGAAATGGTTGTACCTCCGAACCACAACCAATTTACCAGCCACTTCTTGAGACTAAAGAGATTGTTTCTATTTTATTTTATTTCCGAATACAAGTATGGGCTGTTAAAATATTTTTTTGCATTGGTCTTTTCAAATGCATGGGAATGTAGCTACAAAATAAATTCGTGGAGGGAGAACTGCTAAATCAAAGGACGTTAGAAATGCCGACATCTGCTGCAAGGCTCTCCTCCACAGAGGGCAGTTTGCTGCAGCAGCAGTAAGGATGTGAAGCACACTTGTCCCCTTCCCTTCCCCAGCACCCTCTCTAGCCACCCAGAGGGTGACAAGCATCACCTGTAAGGGTCTTTCTGCTTTTCTATTGTAAGGAAAGAAGCTGAGCAATGTTTTTTCCCACTTAAAATTCATCCGTAGTTCGGGGTGGTAGTATAGCCCAGTCCCACAGAGCACTTGCCTGGCATGCTCAAAGGAGACCCTGGCTCTGATTCCTAGCACCATTGGGGGAAAAAATTATTCTTCTATGGCTTCTGGGTTTTAAGTCAAATGTTTAAAAAAAAAAAAAAAAAAACCTTCCTTCCTCTAAGATTCTGGAAATAAAAAAAAACCCACAGTACCTTGTGCTCATGTCATTATTTAATTTTTACATGTAAATTCTTAACTTATTTTTCAAATATTTTGGTATACAAGTTGAGTGATGACATTTTATTTTTTCTTTTCAGATAATCCATAATCCATACTCAATGTTTGAATAACTGCATTATTTAAAAATTTATAAGGATCATAATTATAGAGGTCAATAGATGCAGATGTTTTTACCCTGCTTAATTATTCTGTCTCTGCATATATCAATTTTATGTTTTAACATCTGCTATAACAAAGAAAAAAATGTAAAGGTCCTGTTAGACTGAAAGCAATAGGTATTCCTTAACACTCCCAAAAGACACACACAACACAACATACCCCTCTCTCTAGGGAGATAGAGCAAAAAATGTAAAGGGGAACTTAAATTATAGGCGTGGTCCTGTTGGCACACTGAAGACCTCAAGGTTAAAAAAAGGGAGCTAAAAGAGGTACACCTTCAAACCTATGTCCAGTTCCATTCCTGACAGCAAGGAAACACACTTCATGGACAATACCATAAGAAAGTGTTTCCATTAGCAATCCCTACACCCTTAGGCTATTCCCCTAGCAGTTACTCAGCTCCCTTAGGGAGAGCAAAATTAGCCTCCTAACAACATGACCTGGAACCCAGTGTAACTAATACTCCTCCTCTCACTGCTGGGATAAGAAACACCTGGCAAGGAGACTTACTGGAGGAGAGGGTTATGGTGGGTCCCAGTTCAAGGGAGACGGTCAGCCACAGTGGGGAAGGTACGGCAGCAGAACAAGGAAGCACCTGGTCACCAATCACATCATGTCCATAATCAGGAAGCAGAGAGCCATGAAGGCTTGTGTTCAACTTCGTTCAGTCTGGGTCCCCAGAACATGGAATGGTGCTACCCACATTGAGGGTGAAGGTGACCTACCTCAACTAAAGTAATCTAGATAATTCCTCATAAACATGCCAGAGATTTGTTTCCATGGTAATTCAAAAATCCCATGGAGTTGACAAAAAGATTAAATATCACAGCCAGAATGGCAAGGGCCAATTCCCTACACCACATTACATGCAACACCCTCCACAACTCAGTTAGTATTAGGGGTAGGGACACCAGTAACAGACCAGAAATTGAATGAATTTCCACAATCATGGCCCAGAAACCCCAAAGTACTGTAACTTAACACCACAGAGCTGCATCCCAGAATTGCTGGCTAGATTCTTTGACCAAGGCTGACCTTAACTGCATGACACTGGTTTTCATGGCTACTAATCGCATGCCATAGAGTACACAACTGAAAGTTATATGCACAGAGGCTCAAGCTAACCTCCCAGACCCGTACTTAAGCCAGTATGGACTGTACTCCTTCACATGGCATGTATTACATGCCAGGAAACTGCACACACAGAAGCCCACCCAAACCAGAAGAGTACTTTTAAATGGCAACCTCCACAGCTCATCAGTGTGCTTCTCTAGCTATTGCTTAGCTGCTGTGACCTTGTATACTCAGTGAACCACTTTCCCTGCTTTAATCTAAAGGGTGACAGTGTAGAGGTAGATGCCCAGCCCACCACAGTTACCCTATCACAACACAGATGCCAAGAACCAAGAGGGAACGCCTATGGGAACTCTTCGGACAAACACCGTAAGGTCGGTGAGAGGACCACAGTAAAATGCATCGCCACTGAGACACACAGGTTTGGGGGTGGGAGGGTGGGGCAGGACTTGCTCATCTTGTTGGAAAAGATGAGAAAAACCAATTTCCAGAGAGTTTTGTAAGCCAAGGGAAATTATGGGTTGGCCTCACCAAATACCTTAGTGAATACCTCGTGAAGTACAGATTCAGAGAACAGGAGACAGAGTGGTGGCTCTTGTTACATTTACTGTAATGAAATTCCAAAAGTAAACAACTGTTTAAATTCTTGCCATCACCACAGTTCTGTACTTTGTATTTTTACACCAATCCCAAGGGAAAGCAGGGGAGTGTATGAAGACAAGAAACTTCCTTCTTACCCTCAACGTAAGGTCCTTCTTTGGGATGCTCACGGACTCTTAAATTGAAGGTTTTAGATGACTTCCGCCTAAGTAGGTCTCTCACACGTTCGTTGTAAATTTCTAAGTAGCTAAAAATTTTAAATAGAATGAATTTTAGAAAAAATGATTTTAAGACATTAATAATAACAAACAACACACATGGCAACCATCTGCACCTCTGCTGTGTACTTCATAGGATGCATTTCCCTGAATCCTTGTAATGGCCCAAAGGTGGGTATTTCATCATCCCCACTTTATAAATTTGGCAGGAGAGGTCCGATGTGCTTTAAATAGCTTGCCCAGAGTCACAGTCACCAAGAGGATGATTGGCTCTGAGCACTACAGGTCAACACAGTTCTGCTCAAGACCACTGGAGAGACTCGGTGACAGAAAGGAAAAGGTGCTCTGTGCACCCAGGCTGATGTGAGGGTGAGACTCACAGGATCCCACAGACATTTCTTAGCCAAAAGAGTGAAACGAACTGCATGAGCTCACAAAAGTCAAGGACTCACTCCATTTGAGATAAAAATAGAATAAATACTAAAGCTTCCATCAAACAATGCTATTTCACACCCAAATTGTACCCAAGTAGTCTCAGTTCTATTGCTAACTAACATTACATTCAGGTCAGGAAGGGGCAGGCTCATTCCTCAGCAACCTGCAGCTTCATCCTTCTCTCTGCAAGACGTCTGTACAAGTCAAGCAGCCTGGGCCCCTCAGAACTTTATGCCTCAGGTTGTGGCCCTACCTGACTTCGGTCCTGAAAGAGGCTTCGTCCCATCTGGTGGTTTCATTTATCCGACTGAAGAGTGCTTCACAGATCCGAGGTATTAAACCAGAATCGCTCTGAAATGGAGAAGAAGGGTATTACAACCATCACTCAAACTAGATTCAGGCAGACAGTGAACTTGCATTTGGCTATCATTGACTCTAGAAGCGTGAGTGCCAAGCCCAAACCTCCCACCAAGAGCCCCTGAAGAACTGCTTCTTACTCTGAAATGAAAGGATAATGCCCTCTGATTTCTAAATGCTATGATTAGGATAATATACATTTATCAGATGTTAAACCAGCTAACAATGGCTTGCAAGGACTAGGAGACTTGTTCTCTATCAAAGAATATAGTTTATAAGGTACAATACATCTTAGAAATATCTGGCTAAATGACAAAACAGGGATAATACATACTATGCAGAAAAGAAACACTGACAAAAAAACCTGAAGTCCTCCAGATAAGCATCTTAAAATGTAGGTGGCAGAAGCACATTAAACTATGGAAGACAGCCTTCCTTTGGTACAGCAATCCCTGCAAGGTTCCCCTTAAGAAGAGCAAATCCACCATATCACTAAGTGATGTGGGTATATAACATAGTTCAGGACACAGGAACAAGTCTGTGAGCAACACTCTATGTACTGGCTAGTTTTCTGTCAACTAGACACAAGATAGAGTCATCTGAGAGGAGGGAGCCTCAACTGAGAAAATGCCTCCATAAGATCAGGCTCTAAGCAGACAAAGGCATTTTCTTAATAAGTGATGGGGGTGGGTCCAGTCCATTGTAGATGGGATCACCTCTGGGCTGGTGGTCCTGGGTTCTATAAGAAAGCAGACTGAGCTAGCCATGGGGAGCAAGCCAGTGAGCAGCACCCCTCCATGGTCTCTGCATCAGCTCCTGCCTCCAGGTTCCTTCCCTGTTTGAGTTCCTGTCCTGACTTCCTTCAGTGATGAACTATGGATGTGGAAGTATAAGGCAAACACCCATCCCCAACTTGCTTTTAGTCATGCTGTTTCATCATAGTAATAGTAACCCAAACTAAGACACTCTGCATCAGGCAAAATGCTCTCATTAGGGAACCCAGACCTCAGAGCAGCCATGCATTCTTGGCCAGTCCATTCCTACCTCCACTCAACTCCCCCTCAAAGAACTGAAGAACTATCATTGCCACTACTTTAAGGCATTTTTCCCCTTTGTATCTACCATTCAGTTGGTACAAGCTGTTACCAAGGACAACTGATACTTCCACCACAAGTTGTCTTTCTTACTTAAAATAAGTAACTAGAATACTGAAGCCATACTTACCTTCAAGGGTAGAGAAAAAGCACCTGCTGTTTAGAAGTGCTTTGTAAATGTCTTGTATAAAGTGGCTAGTGGAAAACTGACATGCAAATTTCATTTATAGAGTTGTTTTGTTTTGTTTTGTTTTTTCCCCAAAAGTTCAGTAGGAAAACAAGAAGAGGAAAATAGTGATTAAAGTGGAATGGGAAATCTGAGGTGTACTATCTCTCTCCCTTGCTCTTCCTGCCTTCTGGCCTCGTGACACGAGCTCAGTACCGTATTTCCCATGTAAACACAAAGTCTGGGTTTGAGAAACTAGGTTCCGGGCACTGGAATGATGTCCTTAAGAAGATTTGTTCCCCTTCAGTACCATGCTTCCATGGACCACCAAACCTTAGCAATGAAGACATAACCGTGCCTGCTGGCAGGGGCCCCTAAACCATCAGTGTCTACATCTACAACACACCACAGCTTTGGCCGTACTGAACACAGTTCTTGCTCCCACCTGAAAAAAATTACATACGTATCACTAAGTTTTAAGTACTTCTTCACGGGTTGTTTATGCTTTTTGTTTGTTTTGTGTGTTGTCAGAGACCCAATCAGGGCCTTGAGTATGCTGTGTAGGTGTCCCACCACTGAGGGCAGTTTGCTGCAGCAATGAATGCTATGAAGCTACATTCCCAGTCTTTTTTTGTTTTTTGATCTCTCTAAGTTCACCAGGATGGTCTGAAGTTTGTGATCATCCTGCATCAGCCTCCCAAGAAGCTGGGATTACAAGTGCACACCTTCATATCATGTCCAAATTTATTATGTCTACATTGCACTTCTCCACATTCTGGTGCAAATACAAGTGCCTGTGAATTTACATCGATTAATTTCTAAACTGTAGATGCTGTGTTTATGACCATATAAGCTGTAAGGGCTCTGTAATGCCAATTTTTTCATGTATTTGCTGGACTTATATAACACCTTTCCATCAAAAAGTTAGATTTTCCTTTTTGCGCTATTCTTAGGAAAAATGTTCTGAATAATTTTAAGAAGAACAGACTTTGGTAATTTTATTCAAACTGTTATGCTGGCAGAAAAGAAGAATAAATTACTTTCTTGATAAGATTATAAGGCCTTTAAAAGAAGAAGCGAACTGGGACTTGCACCCATTATTCGTGCTTATAACGTAAAACTATTTCTAATTTCAAATCTCTCCAAGGAAATTTAGTTCAGCTTATTACTGAGTTTTATCTTCTTATTACTAAAGGAAGATCAGAACAGGAAAAGTTGGTGCAGACCTAGTAGATAAGAGATAATTCCATCACTCCAGAGAAAGATAACGAGAAATCTCCTTCCCATATAGCATATAAACAACTAAACAACGTACAGAATTTCCCATCATAGTGTAGGACTTTCCGGATCCAGTTTGCCCATATGCAAAGACACAAGCATTATAACCTTCAAATGCAGATTTCACGACATCTGTGCCCAGAGTTTTGAAAACCTAAAAGAAAAAATATATTTACATATATATAAACACAAAGGATGCAAGTACCATGGATTTTAATAAAAGTCCCTGCAGTGTTGACAATATTCTTGAATGTTACTTTCATCTTTAAGGATTACAGCATAAAAATAAATCACTGCCGAGCTGCAACAACAGAATATGTATGCACCCCAGTTTTTAATCAAAAGTAAACTTCCCAAGCAAGCAAAAAGCAACACCATCCTTTTTCCTACTTAAGTTAGCAAATGATTTCTGAAATAAAAATGTAAACAAGGCCAAGTGGCAATTGTGTCTAGAAGCAAAGATTTTAACACATGATGTTAAAACTCAGAACTGTATAATGTGTAAAGCTATTCATCTTATCAGAGCCTCCAGAAATTAATATTCAAAACCTAAAGGTCACAGTAGCCAGAAATTATTGCCTGAATCCTACCAAATCAAAGCTTTCATTTCTCAGGGCCAATGTTCCTCAAGGTAAGTCTCTAGGCGACCTGGGGTAGCAGAGTGCTGGGGGCAGTGTGGTGAATGTCTGGGCTCCCTCACAACTGGGTCCCAGTGTATTTTCCTGTTTGGATACTTATTGAAATACTTGTAGACACGGTAGGGAGACCAGAGGGTCACATCCACAACCTGCGTTTCTGTCCCACGCCCCACATACTTGCTGTTTGGGGGTAAAGAGGATGAAGCGCAAATGGTCCAGGAGGACAGCTAACATAGATGAGACAGATGAAAATGTGAAGTCACCCTATTATATCAAGCTAAGAAGGAACGAGTCAAAGCTCTGTTGATGCCTCAATGCCCACTAAGCCCAGCACACCAAGCCCCCTCAAACATCTCTGCTACAAAAAGTAGGAGCATTGGTGAGGTGATATATTGTGTACCCTACTAAAGCTTGCCTGAGGATCAGAGGACAGAACAAGCCACTAGATTAAACATAGAGGCCAGGCAGTGGTGGCACACACCTTTAATCCTAGCACTCAGGAGGCAGAGATCCGCCTGGATCTCTGTGAGTTCAAGGTCACCCTGGACTACATGAGATTGACTCAGTCTAGGAAAGAAAACAGAGCTAGGCAGTGGTGGCACACACCTTTAATCCCAAGCACTTGAGATCTCATGCCTTTGCTTGGGAAGCACACACACCTTTAATCCTAGGATGTAATATGGCAGGGCATATAAGGCATAAGGAGATAGAAACTAAAGGCTTTTTTTTTTTTTTTTTTTTTTTTTTGGCTGAGGCCTTTCCAGTAAGGACTTAGAGGCTTTGGGATCGGCTGAGGAGTTGGCAAGGTGAGGTTTGCTCTGGCTTGCTCTGCCTCTCTGATCTTTCAGCTTTTACCTCAATATCTGGATCAGGGTTTTCTATTAATAAAACTATTTAAGATTTGAACAACACATTGGCAGCTAGAGATGCCAGAGAATGAATGTCATCAGGTTCACAGTCAGAGCTGAGGAAAAACCTGAGCAAGTGGGATGACCACAGTACAAGGTGGGGACTCCTATAGTCGTGAGCCCTCTGAGCCAAAATCAGGAGACCCAGAAAGCTATTTCTCCCAAACTACCCTGAGCAGCAGATCCTAGGATATACTGGCCGTGAGAGAATGAGGAAAGCTCTCCAGAATCCCAGTGGCCAGGCCAGCAAGTCCGCCCCGTGAAATGTGAGCCCAGGAATCAGTACACTGCAAAACTTCTCAAGGGGGTACTGCACCCCTGACCACAGCAAAGTCTGCTGACCACGCAGCTGACATCCACAGTGTAACAAAAATACAGCTAAATGAACTCAGGCTTTCTTCCCTCCATCCTGCTTGCACTTCCATCAGATCCATCAGTAAAACTTTCCTAACTATAATTTCAACTGAAGTTCTTCCACAAATGGGCTACAGCCACTTATTCTCAGTTAAGTGTTACCCATTTCAGCTTTAGACACTGTTATTTTCTGATCAGTCTAAAGACTTATTCAATGCCCAGCTGTGACAGGAGCTCACACTTCCTGGGCACTGTCACAGGTTCATGCAGTAATTCAAAGGGGGAAGGGCTCACAAGCCCTCAGATGAGGAAGCTGACAGGGAAGGTCAGTATTCAGGCCCTTGCCAGTGAGTGGCAGAGCTGGGTCTACACCCTCATTACAGGGCCTTGGCCACATCCACTAAATTCACAAGGCCCTGGTGCTAGCTGAAAGGATGTACCCCCAAGCGTTTGTGAAGCAAGAACCCCAGGAAGACTCAGGGATCCAGACCATGAGTTTCGGTCTCTGTAGTGGGTAGCCATTTCAGCTTTGATCTGGAAGTTCTAACCCCCATTGAGTGTGGCCTTGATAATTTCACCAATAGCTCTCCATTCACTAATACATATGAACTGTAAGGAAAAGTTCTTTTTCTCCAGTTCTCTCAGATTGGAGCAAAAACAAAAGTCTTCCACAGACATTTCAGAAAACAAGGAAGGGGCATTTCTCACAGTCCAGACTCGGGCAAAATGAATCACAGAAAAGAGTTAAACCAGACTCAAATGTCTCCACAATTTAAATCCTTCCTAGGACAGAGGGCCACACTGACCCAGGCCGCTCTTCACTGGCCCTGGGAGAGCTGACCCCTGCAGTCGGGAGAGATGGCCCCACCTCTCACCACAGGCCAGGGAGAACCTATCTATCCTGCTGGCTCTGCCCCCTTGTCTGAGGTGGATGGCCCCAGTGGCCTGGACTGCCCAGCTCAGCTACCACCCAGGCCCACAACCAGGCCTTGGATTGGCCCACCCTAACCTATAACCCATCTAGGACCTGCTGGAGCTTGTGAAGGGACTGGTCCTGTGGAACGATATCCTCAGGGATGGCCACGGGATATCCCAGAGGAGTTTCAGTGTGGATCCAGTGATGATGGTATACCAGAAACCAGAGGCCTTGAACCAAACCAATGACACTCTCCATGTTATTACTTTGTTAGCAAGTAGAAGCTCACCTAGGTGGTTTTCTGACAGACTGACGAGCCCCAGCAGGTGCAATGGTAGAAGAGATCTAGAACAGGTAGGTCTGTAAGTGACACCAGATCTAGCTCAGCCTCAGCACCAACCAACCCACCCACCCACGGACAGACAAGGATGCAGAAACAGGGACTGTCCTCCTCTCCTGAGGCTACCCTGTCACACCCCCACCAGACTGATTTGGCATCTGCTACCGTATCAAATGTGAGGAGACATTCAGGAGACCGATGAGTCCATTAGCACCAAACTCTGACTGAACCCCTCACTAGCCCAGTTACCCCAATCTGCCTTGCTGTGTGCGGAAAAGCTTTAAAGCTCCTTTCAAGGGTGACCGACATCCCAGGGTCTCCCTGGTGGGGAATGGACCACAAGAGGGCGCTGCTGAAACACGAGCTGCCTTCCAGCCTGGCAACTGGTTTCGAGTTTCTCCAGGGTTGAATTAAGAAGTAGGTAGTGTGAGAGAGATCAAAGCCTCCTGTTGAAGTTTTGAAGAACCATTAAGAAAATTAAGACCTTATTTAATGGTCTTTAATTTACAAATCTGTAGGTTTAAACTACTCATTGATTTTTTTTCCTAATTCTAAAATAATTGTTTGGTTTTTAGACTCAAAGGAAACTTTATAGTAGTGGACATGATATAGTTTCTCAATATACTTTTAGGGGTGTGTGGGCAGGCATGGTGGTGCACACTTTTTTTTTTTTAGATTTATTTTTTTATTATGTATACAGTGTTCTGTCTGCATGTATGCCTGCAAGCCAGAAGAGGGCAGCAGATTTCATTACAGATGGTTGTGAGCCACCATGTGGTTGCTGGGAATTAAACTCAGGACCTCTGGAAGAACAGCCAGTGCTCTTAACCTCTGAGCCATCTCTCCAGGCCCTCAATACACTTTTAAATTTAACTGATTAAAGCAGAAGAGGAAAGAAAGAGGTTCAGCTAGCACTGTGCTTGCTTCACGACGGCTCTACTCTCCTCGCCTTTCACCAGCAGCCTGAAGAGCTGAGCAGGAAGCTGAAAACCTGAAACCTTCATGAGGGAGTGCTAAAATGAGGGATGAGACACATCTCTTACTATTTTACAGATAACTGTTTTCCTGCATCTACAATGAGTATTCACATGGCTTAGTAAGAGCAGTGTGTTATAGTTTGGAAATTCCACAGAAAAATCCCAGTTACTCTCTGTAAGGGTCCCTGAAGCACCATGAAGAAATGCTGTGCTATCACCTAAAGCAGGGAATTTCCTTGTGGGCAGACAACTTTGCACAATCTAGATCTCCCTTTAAATTCTGGACATTGGCTTTTAACATACAGAGAGAAGAGCTACATTTGTTTTTACATCCCTCTCCTTGATTATTGTACAGCTCAGGAAGTAATCACCTGCTCCCACAAACTAACCATCTGCAAATTAGGTCATCTGGTCAGCAAACATTTCCCAGCCAGGTCCTGTGGTCACACAATGCTCTCCATCCCTCTGTGTACCACTTTGTCCCCAAAGACTTCAAATTCAAGTAAAAGAAGGACATCCAACAGTTCATTAAATAGGTTAAAAAATGAAGATCCTTTGGAGCAGGACAGGCCCATAGGGTCAAGGAAATTGGCTCAGACCAGTAGCCAAAGCATGCACATAACATACCCCTTAAGAGCCAACCTGGATCTGCCTGAGGGCCTAGCAACAGGAGCTGTCAGAGTTCCTAGTTGATGTCAGAGCTCCTGATCATGCAGAATCTACTTGAAGGCCTAGCAACAGTCGCTGTCAGAGTTCCAGATCATGCCAAGTCTGCCTAAGGACCTAGCAACAATTGCTGTCAGAGTTCCTGATCGTGCCCAGCCAATGAGGGATGACCACACAGACTGGGCACTAAGAGGAGGGTATATAAGGCCTACCCTGTTATTAAATAAATGAGTTCATTATTTGCTTTCTGCAGACTCCTGGTGTCTGTGTTGTTGACACCACACCTTCTCACCCCCCTCACCTGAGGGAGCCATTAGAATCCAAGCAACATCCCTCAAGGCTTTTCATTCATCCC